CCCAAAACCCCAAAACCCCCCCAAAACCCCAAAACCCCAAAACCCCGTGAGAGTAGTATTCTAAAAATTCATCATAAATAAATATTTTGATAAAATTAGAACAAGCTCAAGGTGATTATTATATTAATGTTTTATAAAGAAAGTTAAAAGCAAAATCTTATATTCACAGAAAGTTTTAGAAATTAATAGTTTTGATAACATACTTTAAGTCTTGAGTAAATAACATAATAAAATATCTACTCTTTGTAGATTGATAATCTTCCTGTTCATTAGGTGATCTTGAAATAATTAATGTTTTCGAACTGGATCTAAGCTTGATTAAATTAATTCTTTGAACTATGTGAATATTTGATTATTTACTCCAGTTACTCATTTTAAGAATTATCTGATAGATTTGAGGGAATGCTGACTTCAATCAAAGCTGAGAATTTGGGCCTAGATATTAGATGATCACTCTATGATGTTTTCAATTTCAGATTGTTTTCTCTATACACCTAATCTCTAACTACATTAACATTGGCCATTTCTTCTTCAATTCTATCTAAATCCTCATCAAATATTTCTATATCCTCGACTTTAATCTCAATTTTCTATTATTTAGTTTCCAGTTTTAATTCTTAAAGGCTCATTAAATTGCTGCTCTAGATCTAATTAAATAATTAGGGAATCACTCCATTTAATGCTTGAGACTGGTATTCGGTTTAGTTTTCATGACTTTTTAATATGGGGTTATCCAAATCCCGTAATTTACATTGGTGATTGAATATCGATTTATTTTCATCCTAGTTGATATTGAATTCAAATTCAGAGTCAATTATACATTTTTGATTTCCTAATTATTCTTCAATGATTCTGATATATTCACTGTAGTTAGGTTCTTCTGAGAATTGAAGTCTTCGTACTTTGTCAAAAATATCCAAAAGACACTCTAAAATAAAATTTGCAAAGGCTGTATAATTTACACGGTATGCAAGAGCCATAATCCTTGATATTTTTAAGCAAACGAACTTGCTTAATATAATTCACCAATTCTATTTTACTCATGCTGTCCGGGTATTTAATCCAATGGGGTTTGCCATTCAAAAGATATAGAGACACGTATATTAAGGATTCAATATCATCTCTTCTTGAAGGATCTATATGCCATTCAAAGATTATGATTTATTACATTAGTTTTTGAGTTGGTTGATACTACAGTACAAGAGTGAACCTTTAAAAGCATTTTAAAATGGTTAGCTAATGTGATTTCCGTTTTATTTTAAATAAGTATGCGATAGACCAAAGTCCACAAGTGAGATTTCTATTAGGTTTTCATTGAGAGTATTTACAATCTCATCCTAATCTCTACTTCTTATAATAATATTGTCTGGCTTTATATCACAATGAATGAATCCTTATTTGTGAAGCTTTTTAACTCTCTTTATCTAATTGACTCAATAATTAAAATCTATATTCTTACCAATAATTTTAATATTTCGAGAGCAGCGACTTAGCAAATATGATTATTTTTATTTTTGAGTACTGACTATCTCAGATCAGCACCCAAAAAATTTGTAATAATAATAGGTAGGTCCTCAAAGAAGATCACATCTTAAAGTTTTGGGAACCCCTTTCTACCTTTCATTAATTTTATGATTCGTAGTTCCTATTCAAAAGTTTCGTAGTCTAAGTACTATAATTAATATTACACCGATAAGCAATTCATACCATTTTAGCTACATATTTTATATGGGATGCAATATCTTTAACTGAAAATACTGTGCCAAAATTGTTCTAACTCATAACTTTTTGAATAAGGTACTTTTCTGAAAGTTATTTCTACAAAATGGTTTTGCTGCTCATTTCCTCTTTCTTCTATTTTTTCTAATTGTATATTAATCTGGCAATTGATTACTTGTTAAAGTTAGCTAATTATGATAATTTATTTTTGTTATTATACGATTAATCTTAGATTAAAATTATCGAATATTATTAGCAATGATTCAATCATCAATGAGTCTCACGGGGTTTTGGGGTTTTGGGGTTTTGGGG